GGTTTTTTCAGGAGGATACTGGCAGCTGGACCTCAGTCAGAGGGGGCCTTTCTTCCTGAAGGGCAGGCGAGGCTCGCAGTAACCCCTGGGACACGGGACGAAGGAGAGGCCTGAGCCTAGTCCCAAGCGGCCTCCTCTGCTTCGTCTCTTCTCCACAGGCCTGTCCACCCTTCCTCCAGCCCACAACCCTGCCTCACCAAGGCCCCCTCCACTGGCCACCCTCACTCCTGGAGTCAGATCCAGCTCCCAGAGGGCTCCTGTGTCACGTGGCCTCCCCTCCCCTGGACTCACCCAGAACTTGTCCTCTTCTCCTGCCCCCGCCATGGTCACCTGTGTGCAAGCCCCACCCCCACTGCTGGATCGCGAGTTCCCAGGCGGCAGAGCGGAGGCTTGGACACATATGACACACGGACATCCCAGGTTTTCAGGGCGGCCCTGGTTCATAGATGATATGCCTTTCACACTTTGTAAGACTTTCTTAAGTGCATCTGCACCTCAGAAAACACTGTTTGATTTTGCTCTCAGCTTTGGGGTCTGGCACACGCAGTGACTCATCTGACTCACTCCAGTGTCGTCGGGGGACACAGGACCTACCACAGTACCCTGTTCCTCTCGCACACTGACATGGACCTGCCTGGTGAGTCTACTTTTCTGGCTGCTCCTGGATGGGGTGCCCCAGCGGCACGAAGGCGGGTGAAGCAGATCTTACGCGAATCCTGGTTAATCTCTGCTAACACCAAGCAACACTTACGCGACAATGTGCTTTAAACTCCTGTTCTTGACTTTTCAGATTTTCATTCATGGCTACCAGGGCTCTCAAGTTCTGTAGGATGCTGAAAAGACAAAAAAAAACAAAAAAACAAAACCAAAAAAAAACCGGTGACTTCCGACAAGCCATTGTGATTTTATGAATCACAGCTAAAACCAATACCCCAGTGAAAACCAAGATCCCAGGTAAAAAGGGACTTCTTTTAAAATATCCTTTATCTCTCCCAAGAGTGTCAACTGGGTTGGTTTCCCATAAACGGTGGCGACTACTGTTTAACTGACAGTATTACTCATGTAATACGCTGAGTCCATCAGGTTGCATCCAAACAAATAGGACAGAATCTAGAATTAAAATGTCCACTGCGGAAACATCAATGAATTTCAAGATCACTGGATATTTTTAATGATACCAATTATTCAACAGACTCAGAGCATAAACAGTACCGTCATTTGAATTCCCATTTTTAATTTTCATTCCAAAGGAAACAGGTTGTTTAAGGTCATTAAAAACACTAATTTTAAACGAAAAATGACATGTCTGATAGAACTTTGCTCCAAAAGAGCATTTCTAATCATAAAGCAAATAATCTGTAGGTACTTCTTTCCTAAATCTGCCCATCAAATCCAGAAGTGCTCACTCTGTGCCTGCAAGGTTTTAGAATTTCACAATCTCACTCAAATGAGTGACACTTGGGAGATTTTCCCACCCAGTTTGGTGCTAAAATGGTTAAATGTAAGTAAGTGTTTCTTATATTTAAATTATCTAAAGACAGTTAATTAAAAAAATAAAAATCCAAAAACCCAACAGCTGTGTCTTAGCAAAAAAAATAATGTACCTTTATTCCCAAGGAGTCAGGGCTTAAATATGCGCTGTTAAACACTGGTAACACCAGTTGGCTCCAAGGAGAACCAGGTGGCTAGGGGACTGGGGCAGGAGGAAGACTTTTCAGCGTATGCCTTATTGAACCCTGAGTGTATGACTTAGTTTTTAAAAACAGAAAACAAAACAAAATAAAATACAAAAAAGTGCTGCCTCTGACCCCCGGGGGACTGGGAGGAGGCAGCGGCTGGCTCAGTGCAGACGGAGCCCTCCTGAGCCTGTGCCTGGGAGCTGGGCATGCTCTGGATCCACAGTGAAGGGAGTGGCCAGCCAGCAGCAATGACCCCGGGGCCCCCTAGTCCTGTGCTCAAACCCAGGAACCAGCGAAGCTACCTCCTCCACAGAGGAAACAGGCACACACTGAGACCCCCTACCTCGGATCAGCTTTGGATTCTATCCTCTCGAGGGCTGCTTGCTCTTGGTCCAATTTCTCACTGTAACTCTTCAGCTGCAAGAGAGGAGGAGGCAGGCTGCTGGAGACCTGCTAGAGCAGACGGTGA